TCTCCCACCCCTTTTTCCCATCCTGATCCCCTTTTCCCCATCCTGGCCCCTTCTCCCATCCCTTTCCCTGTCCTGACCCTTTCCTCACCCCCTTTCCCCATCCTGACCCCTTTTCCCACCCCCTTTCTGTGTCCTGACCCCTTCTGTCCCCCCCTTTCCCCATCCTGACCCCTTCTCCCACTCCTTTTCCCCATCCTCGCCCCCTTTTCCCATCCTGACCCCTTCTCCCACCCCCTTTCCCCATCTTCCCACCCCTTTTTTCCCATTTCGCACATCCCTTCACGCTCCCGGTGAATTCATGGGAGCCCCATCTGTCGGGTGAGGAGGAGAAGGGTTTTGCCCCCCTTTTGGGGTGCCTGTGCACCCCATAAAAAAGGAAACGGGGCCCCTTCCCTGCTGAGCCTCTCCCCAGCCTTTCACAGCCAGGCTTGGCAAGACCAGCTGAGCAAAGTCACGGAATCTGGGGCAGAGCTGCAGCCACAGCTCCATCCTTCCTCCCCAGGACCACGTGGCCTCTGTATCATGTCCAAAGCAGAAAAGCTGCAGTTTTTGAGGCAAAAATCCAATGAATCGGCTCTAGGGAAGAGCCTCCTCCCAGATGCTGAGGCAGGGCCTAGCAGAGCTTGGGCTTTGCTGCAGATTTAGGAAGGGGACTCTGCTCAGCTCTGTGGTGCCTTGTTGCTTGGTAACACTTTCAGGAGTGGATTTGAAGCCTCGTTTTTTGTCGCAGCTCAAGGCACCGGGAGCGAAGCAGCCCAGGAGCTGCTGTTTGTCYTTCCCTGGAAATCAGGCTGCCCCTTTCCTTCCCTCTGCTCCAAAACATCCCCTGGGATCGCTTTCCTCACTCAGCTGTGGCGGTGGAGGGTGAATCCCACATAATTCACCTCCTGCAGGTGGCCCAGAGCCACCCAGGCAGGAGCAGATCCGAGTTTATCCCAATCCTGTGCCCACAGCCCTCTCTCTGCTCCTCTGTTCTTCCCTCAGGTCAATCAGAGGAAAGGAGACTCCCCYTGAGCCCTCGGGAGTCCCCTTCCCCCCTTTTTCTCCACCTCCTGTCACCTCTTCTGTCCCCTCTCGCCACTCGTTTGGCACCACCGGGGCTGGGGGGCCGCGGGCTCTGCGTCGCAGCCATGATGTCGGATCACTCACTGTCACTCTGTTTTTTTTTTTTTTTTTTTTTTTTTT